GGTTTCCTCTAAGAGTTTTATAGTGTCTGGCCTTACATTTTGGTCTTTAATCCATTTTGAGTTTATTTTCGTGTATGGTGTTAGGAAGTGTTCTAGTTTCGTTCTTTTACATGTAGCTGTCCAGTTTTCCCAGCACCACTTATTGAAGACGCTGTCTCTTCGCTATTGTATATTCTTTCCTCTGTTGTCAAAGAAAAGGTGGCCATGTGTGCGTAGGTTTGTCTCTGGGCTTTCTATCCTGTTCCAGTGATCTATATTTCTGTTTTTCTGCCAGTACCATACTGTTTTGATTAGTGTAGCTTTGTGGTATTGTCTGAAGTCAGGGAGCCTGATTCCTCCAGCTCTGGTTTTCTTTCTCAAGATTGCTTTGGCTATTCGGGGTCTTTTGTGTTTCCATACAAATTGTGAAATTTTTGTTCTAGTTCTGTGAAAAATGCCATTGGTAGCTTGATAGGGATTGCATTGAATCTGTAGATTGCTTTGCGTAGCATAGTCATTTTCACAGTGTTGGTTCTTCCAATCCAAGAACATGGTATATCCCTCCATCTGTTTGTATCATCTTTAATTTCTTTCATCAGTGTCTTATTTTCTCTTTCAGATTTTTTGTTAGTGTATAGGAATGCAAGAGTTTTCTGTGCGTTTTGTATCCTGCTACTTTACCAAATTCATTGATTAGCTCTAGTAGTTTTCTGGTAGCATCTTTAGGATTCTCTATGTATAGTGTCATGTCATCTGCAAACAGTGACAGTTTTACTTCTTCTTTTCTGATTTGGATTCCTTTTATTTCTTTTTCTTCTCTGATTGCCGTGGCTAAAACTTCCAAAACTATGTTGGATAGTAGCAGTGAGAGTGGGCACCCTTGTCTTGTTCCTGATCTTAGAGGAAATGGTTTCAGTTTTTCACCATTGAGAGTGATGTTGGCTGTGGGTTTGTCATATATGGCCTTTATTATGTTGAGGGAAGTTTCCTCTATGCCTACTTTCTGCAGGGTTTTTATCATAAATCGGTGTTGAACTTTGTCAAAAGCTTTTTCTGCATCTATTGAGATTATCATACGGTTTTTATCCTTCAGCTTGTTAATATGGTGTATCACATTGATTGATTTGCATATATTGAAGAATCCTTGCATTCCTGGGATAAACCCCACTTGATCATGGTGTATGATCCTTTTAATGTGCTGTTGGATTCTGTTTGCTAGTATTTTGTTGAGGATTTTTGCATCTATGTTCATCAGTGATATTGGCCTGTAGTTTTCATTTTTGTGGCATCTTTTTCTGGTTTTGGTATCAAGGTGATGGTGGCCTCATAGAATGAGTTTGGGAGTGTTCCTCCCTCTGCTATATTTTGGAAGAGTCTGAGAAGGATAGGTGTTAGCTCTTCTCCAAATGTTTGATAGAATTCGCCTGTGAAGCCATCTGGTTCTGGGCTTTTGTTTGTTGGAAGATTTTTAACCACAGTTTCAATTTCAGTGCTTGTGATTGGTCTGTTCATATTTTCTATTTCTTCCTGGTTCAGTCTTGGAAGGCTGTACTTTTCTAAGAATTTGTCCATTTCTTCCAGGTTGTCCATTTTATTGGCATATAGTCGCTTGTCATAGTCTCTCATGATCCTTCGTATTTCTGCAGTGTCAGTTGTTACTTCTCCTTTTTCATTTCTAATTCTGTTGATTTGAGTCTTCTTCCCTTTTTCTTGATGAGTCTGGCTAATGGTTTATCAATTTTGTTTATCTTCTCAAAGAACCAGCTTTTAGTTTTTATAGATCTTTGCTACTATTTCCTTCATTTCTTTTTCATTTATTTGTGATCTGATCTTTATGGTTTTTTTCCTTCTGCTAACTTTGGGGTTTTTTGTTCTTCTTTCTCTAATTGCTTTAGGTGTAAGGTTAGGTTGTTTATTTGAGATGTTTCTTGTTTCTTGAGGTAGTATTGTATTGTTATAAACTTCCCTCTTAGAACTGTTTTTGCTGCATCCCATAGGTTTTGGGTCATCATTTTACGTATATTTTAAACACAACATCTCACCATCTTGAAATCTTCCATACCCCTCATATAAACATGTACCACCGCTTGCTGATTCTTTTTATGCCAGTGTTGGCTTTCAGAGTGCCATTTTTCCCAACCACTGTTCCCTCAAGATTTCTGACTGCCTGGCCCCTTTATGTCAAAGCTTTCTTGGACATCTTTCTCTCAGTGTGCCTTCTTACCTTTCTCCTTACCCGGTACAAAGCCTGAGTGTGCTTTCACAAAGAGGCCTTAAGTAACCTCAGCATACTTTATTCCACTCTGACTTTTTCACATCCAAAACCTTCTCCAGTATTCATACCTCATTTTCTTCTGTATTCCTGTGCCCCACATATACTTATTTTCTAAATAGCATCTTCCCCACCTGCTTTTCACTTAAATACTTTTTTTTTTAATCATCTCCCATCCCTTTCTTTTGGTGCTTCCCTCCGGTCCTAAGGTTTCTGTCTTTTGTCAATCGGTTTTCTCTCTTTTAGTCTTAACCTTTCTGGTAGTTCTGTTTTCTCACCCTTCTCCAAAAGCTCACACTCTGATAATGTATATGTAGTTATCAGTTGAATGCTTCTGAATAAATATCTGCTTTTCAAAACAGTGAAATCTAAACTATTAGTATGGAAATAACCCCTGGGAAGATGAGGTCTCCACTTGAAAGCTTCAAATAGAGATTCTCCTGCTAGTGTTGAATGATGGAGCTTTATCTTATATTATCTGAAATGGGATGACTACTTGAACCATGCAAAATATTCACTATTATGAAATGAGAATAGATCATTGATTTTACACTTCTATTTTGATTGACCTGAGAAACAAAACTTAACCACCTCAGAGAAGGTAACTTTCATATGTTTTAGATTATATTCAGCATTTATTCTTCAGGATAATTATAGACTTAGAAATGTTTAATACTGTCTCCTAGTCCATGCCAAAGTCCCTTCCAGTAATGAGAGGAATTCATAAGCTACAAGACAACCCAATCCATTTTATACTGATATTGATTGTTGTAGCTGTTCATCCCTGTATTGGGTTGAAATCTACTGGCTTTAATTATATTCATTAACTTTAATTCTGCCCTCAAGCTAAACCGAATTTGGATCCCTTTTCTTCATGACTGCCTTTTAGATAGTTATTCTATCCTCTACACCCCTCTCCCTACAATTTTCTTTTCCCTTTGAGATAAATACTTGACTCTTCCAACTATTCTTCATAGGATACCATTTTCATCATCCTGATTGCTCTCTATGGAAGTTATACTTTGTTAGCGTCCCTTCTAAAATGTGTTCAGAATTAAAAATAATACTCAGTATGTAGCAGAATTGAATCTGGATGTTGCACACCTGTACGTTAATGCAGACTGAAGTTACTTCAAGTATTTTAGCTGCCATGTAATTTTGGCTCATGATGAGTTTGTAATTAACTCAAATCCCACGATTTTAATCTAGAGGTTTCCCTTCACATGACTTCTTTCCAAACCAAGATTCCATCTTCCTTTAGTTGTACCACAGATTTTTAAAGTCAGAATATAAGACTTTACACATATCCCTATTTTATCTCATTAGCCTATCAGCCAGCCTTGGTTTCTTTGAATCTTGGTTTTTGTCATCTACCTTATGCTGATTCAACAAAGAGTCTTGAAGCTAGTGTTGGAATGTTTTCAGACATCTGGGAAACAATAATCAAAAATCATGGAGACTGTCTTCGAAAAATTGTTGTATGCTGATATAACTCAGTTCTTGAGGTGTATATGAATTAATACCATTGTAAATTGGGTCCAGGAAAGACTGAAGTCCATTGCCAGCCTGCAAGACAGAAGCCTTTTGTTGAACATCAACTCCAAGAGAGATGATGTTCCAAGACATATTGTGCCAACATAATGCCAAAAGAGCTGCTAATTCTTCCCAAGAAATCAGTTACTATACATATGAAGTACAGGCAGAGTCATTGTGACCATTCTTTTATTTTGCATTTGGCAAGCATGTACTGAGAACAGTGTCAGGAACAGTGTGAGGTTCTAGAGAACCAGGTTTGCCTGGGGCAACCCTTATTTGTGCCTCTTGTCCCAATGAAATTATTAGTAGCATCATTTTTCAGTTTCAAAAGAGTTCAGGTTTGGAGGATAAATTATCTTGGCCACTCTTCTCATAATCCAACCAGTTCCTCTTAGTATTTTATCTTGGTTAAATATTACACAGCTGTAATTTGGCAGCTCTAATGAGGCTGCAATAGTACTTCTCTTCCATTTGAACAGTTGGTTTCTTGACCGTGAGCAGTTGATAGCAAAAGTAACTGCAGTTAAGGTCTACAAGTACTTAGTATTTTTCCTGAGCCACCCTCTAGAGGGCAGTATTATATACATTTGAAATGATCCAATTCTAACAAAAATGGACTCTGTTTATATGTGAAAATCATAAACATTTGATGCTCTTAAAGAATACATTGGAACCAACATTGTGAATAAAACTTATCTTTTGCTAATCAATAAAGAAATATTAAAAATTCGTTAACATTCTGAACATTCTTTTTTTAATTGTAAAAACTAAACTTAGATGCCCTGAATATACAATGATCCATTATAACAATTATGCATAGACTTCAAGAATCTGCATATTTTATGCTTCTTTCGTGTTTTCCTAATTAATGATTTTACATGGTTAATAATTTTAATATATTCTGCATCACATAGTTTTCATATTTATGTAAAATAGGCACTTAAAAATGAATAGTTCTGATCTACCTGCTTAAATATTACTTTCCTCTAAAAGAGAAAACAAAAATGCTAGTTTTTACTTTATAACCTGAATCATGTGGTAATGTAGAATTCTAGTATTTAGAATTAGAATGTTTCTTAAAAGTTGTGTCATCAGTGGGTAATTTGTTAACTCCTAATATCAAAAGTATATTGCTTGTGTTTGACATTTTTGGATTTCCTAATGTAATGTTCTCTTTTTAGAAAAGGTGGACAAGTCCTATTTTCAAGAGAAGATGACTTTTAACAGTTTTGAAGGATCTAAAACTTGTGTACCTGCAGACATCAGTAAGGATGAAGAATTTGTAGAAGAGTTTAATAGATTAAAAACGTTTGCTAATTTTCCGAGTAGTAGTCCTGTTTCAGCATCAACACTAGCACGAGCTGGTTTTCTATACACTGGTGAAGGAGACACCGTGCGGTGCTTTAGTTGTCATGCAGCAGTAGATAGATGGCAGTATGGAGACTCAGCAGTTGGAAGACACAGGAAAGTATCCCCAAATTGCAGATTTATCAATGGCTTTTATTTCGAAAGTAATGCTGCCCAGCCTACAAATCCTGGTGTCCAAAATGGTCAGTACAAAGCTGAAAACTATCTGGGAAACAGAAATCATTCTGTTTTAGAAAGGCCATCTGAGACTCATGCAGACTATCTTTTGAGAACTGGACAGGTTGTAGATTTATCAGACACCATATACCCAAGGAACCCTGCCATGTGTAGTGAAGAAGCTAGATTAAAGTCTTTTCAAAACTGGCCAGACTATGCCCACTTAACCCCGAGAGAGTTAGCTAGTGCTGGACTCTACTACACGGGTATTGATGATCAAGTACAATGCTTTTGTTGTGGCGGGAAACTGAAAAATTGGGAACCTTGTGATCGTGCATGGTCAGAACACAGGCGACACTTTCCTAATTGCTTCTTTGTATTGGGCCGGAATTTTAATATTCAAAGTGAATCTGATGTCGTGAGTTCTGATAGGAATTTCCCAAATTCAACAAATCCTCCAAGAAATCCAGCCATGGCAGATTACGAAGCACGGATCATTACATTTGGGACGTGGATATACTCAGTTAACAAGGAGCAGCTTGCAAGAGCTGGATTTTATGCTTTAGGTAAACTTTATTATAAACTTAGGCTAATAAATAACTTTCCAACTATCCCAGGGCTCCTAAAAAGTAAATAGATGCCATTTGCCCCCTGAACTGGTAAATATTTAGGTGTAGGCTGACATCATTATTTATATTAGTAGTATTCTGTGAACCCTTATGTTGAATCTGTAATATAACCACTGAATTTACGTGGAAAAGATTACCGTATTATGAGTCATATTTATCTTTATGTAATTGTGTTTTGGAGAAGAATGACATGCAAAAGATGATAGATATCCCTGATAGAAGAATAGGTCTGATAGTAATACTAACTATAATTTATTGCACACCTACTATATGTGCTCAATACATATATTACATGCATTTTCTCTATGCTTCACAACAACCCTATAAGAAGAGTTAACATTAGGGAGTTTACTTTGGCTGATGTTAAAATTGATACCTGCCTTTTGTACATAGACTATATATTTGAAAGCTGCCCTGTATATTCAAAAGATGCCTTATTGCTTAAAATGAGCACTTTTCAAGTGGACTGCTGTAGACATGTCAGTAGGGAAGGAAGGGCCATTAGTGTGATGGCTTCCAGGAATATTCAGAAAAATTATACCGTTATATATCTGACCCAGTTACTTTAAGATTGACTAGTGCCAAAATACAAAATATAATAAGTTATTTCAATATTTTATTTACTTAGTATCATATAGCAATCTTGAAAGTTTGTTTAGTGTCATATAGCTATAACCTTAGAGAAACTTATCCTGTAATTTCATTATGCTGAACTTTATTGTTAGTTTCACAGTTTGAAGAAGTAAATGTAGCATTGATGGCCCCAAATGACATATGTTAAAACAATTGTGATTTTTCACATAAAAATTGGGAAATTTTATTTGCGTCTTCTGTAAAATACCTCAAATTGAATCAGTGAATTTAGTGTGTATTTCCTCCTCAAATGATCTTATCTGTTACTTAGATGTGAATTCAGATATCTTCTTTTAAGCTATGAGACTTTCATGTAATTTAGAAATGCTTAATTTTATAGTATTTAAAAGGATATTTTGGGGTAAGCTTGTAATTGCACAAATACATGTATTTTTACTTGTGTGTTTCTTAGGTGAAGGTGATAAAGTAAAGTGCTTTCACTGTGGAGGAGGGCTAACTGATTGGAAGCCCAGTGAAGACCCTTGGGAACAACATGCTAGGTGGTATCCAGGGTAAGGTATTTAAATGCTCCTTCAGTGACAGGCAAGTTGGACAGCACATAAGCAGTGGGAAGACTTGAATAACTTTTCACATCAGCTATTTTTGCCTTCAATTGAAATTTGAAATTCACACCAGGTTTATAAAAATGGGGTCACCTACTTTCTATACATTTTAAAAAAACACCTAAGCCTTCTCCAGTGACCAAACCATTCATTACTTATGTATCACATCTATGACGTTCAGATGATTCTATTTCTAAACACCAAATTAGGAATGTATGGGACTTCCCTGGTGGCACAGTGGTTAAGAATCCGCCTGCCAAAGCAGGGGACACAGGTTTGAGCCCTGGTCCAGAAAGATCCCACATGCCGCAGAGCAACTAAGCCCCTGCGCCACAACTACTGAGCCTGCGCTCTGGAGCCCGCCAGCCACAACTACTGAGCCTGTGAGCCACAACTACTGAGCCCGTGTGCCACAACTACTGAAGCCCATGCACGTAGAGCCCATGCTCCGCAACAAGAGAATCCACCGCAATGAGAAGCCCGCACACCACAACGAAGAGTAGCACCCACTCGCTGCAACTAGAGAAAGCCCCTGTGCAGTAACGATGACCCAATGAAGCCAAATTAATTAATTAATTACTTTTTTTAAAAAAAAGGAATGTATGCTTTTGTTGTTGGAAGTAGGCTCTTTATATTTTTATTTTTAAAATTAAAAAAAAAAATTTTGTCCTTGTTGGTCTTTGTTGCTGTGCGGCTTTCTCTAGTTGTGGTGAGCTACTCTTCATTGCGGTGCACGGGCTTCTCATTGTGGTAGTTGCAGCACGCGGGCTCAGTTGTGGCGCACGGGCTTAGTTGCTCTGCAGCATGTGGGATCTTCCTGGACCAGGGGTCGAACCCGTGTCCCCTGCATTGGCAGGCAGATTCTTATCCACTGTGGGAAGTAGGCTCTTTAATGATGGGCATGAGAGCCCATGTTGCCAAGGAGATTCCTTAAGAATCCATCACGCCCTCTAACAAATATTACTGAATCTCGCTGATTCTAAGGCATGCAGTTGGTCACATTTTCAGATCTCTGAAACCAGGACACATCTGGTGGTGGGTCATAATTTAATTGGCAGTGGTAGTACATAATATAATCATGCTGCTTACACTCAGTGGCATCTTAGAATGATGACATATTCTAAACATCTCTTTGCCATCTTGCCTCTTTAAAATAAAGTACACAGATGTGTACAGTGTACAGTGATGTAGATTTTTGGCCTACAAAATAGTACAACTTAAAACTTCAGAATGATCATTTGAAAATAAATCTTAACATTAAACAGCCTTAAAAGGAAAGGCTGAAAGCCTAAAGAATTCCTTTAAAATGTACAATTGGTTAATCTCTAAATAAAACTCGTTAAGATTACTTAAAACTTGTTTTTAAATGTCAAGGTGCTAATTTAATAATTTGTGTAAAAGCTGAAAGTTCTCAAGTTGATATTTTTGCTCTGTGGACATTAGCATATTAGGATAACAAAGGGAACATTTTTTTAACCTTAAAATGATAGTTTAATAAGGAATTGAGTAACATTTTATTTTGTGGCTCCTTAGAAATATCAAAAAGCAAGTTAATGGAATTAAAATGATGGAGGTTATATCTTTAATTATACTTTACTAATTTATGAGCTACTAAAGTTTAACCTTTTATTTGTTTAGGTGTAGATTTCTGTTAGAAGAGAAGGGACAAGAATACATAAGCAATATTCATTTAACCCATTCAATTGAGGAGTCTCTGGTAAGTCACATATTATAGAATATATATTTTCAGATATTACATAATTTGTTTTGCAATGATTTCTTAGTATAAAATTCACAGTATATTTTAGATTAATAATGTATGGTGATAGAATGTAAAACAACAAGGGTGAACCCTAATGTAAACTATAGACTTTGGGTGATTATGACGTATCAGTGTAGGTTCACTGATTTTAACAAGTGTGCCACTCTGGGAAGGATGTTGATAATGAGGGAGGGAACGCATGTGTTGGGGCAAGGGGTACATGGGAAATCTCTGTATCTTCCCCTCAATTTTACTGTGTACCTAAACAGTCTTTAAAAAGTAGTTGTTAAAAAATATTAACTCTGCTACATCGCTAAACAAAATATAATGGTTCAGAAGAGAGTTATGCAAAATCACCTGAAGAAACAGAATTGCTCCCAGGGCAGAAGGCTTGATGGAGGTGTTAAGACACCAAAAGAAGGTATGTGTGACCAAAAGGAAGTCAGTGAGCAAAAATGATACAAATGAACTTATTTAACAAAACAGAAACAGACTCACAGACTTAGAAAACAAACTTATGATTACCAAAGGAAAAAGGTGGGGAGGGGGATAAATTAGGAGCTTGGGTTTAACATACACAAACTACTATATTTAAAATAGGTAACCGGGACTCCCCTGGTGGCGCAGTGGTTAAGAATCCGCAGGTATGTGTGACCAAAAGGAAGTCAGTGAGCAAAAATGATACAAATGAACTTATTTAACAAAACAGAAACAGACTCACAGACTTAGAAAACAAACTTATGATTACCAAAGGAAAAAGGTGGGGAGGGGGATAAATTAGGAGCTTGGGTTTAACATACACAAACTACTATATTTAAAATAGGTAACCGGGACTTCCCTGGTGGCGCAGTGGTTAAGAATCCGCCTGCCAACGCAGGGGACACGGGTTCGAGCCCTGGTCTGGGAAGATCCCACATGCCGCGGAGCAACTAAGCCCGTGCGCCACAACTACTGAGCCTGTGCTCTAGAGCCCGTGACACAACTACTGAGCCTGCATGCCACAACTACTGAGCCCTTGTTCCACAACTACTGAAGCCCGCGCCCCTAGAGCCTGTGCTCCGCAACAAAGAGAAGCCACTGCAATGAGAAGCCCACGCACGCCAATGAAGAGTAGCCCCATCTCGCCACCAAGTAGAGCAAGCCCGTGCGCAGCAATGAAGACCCAACACAGCCAAAAATAAATAAATTTATTAAAATAAATAAATAAAATAAAATAGATAACCAACAAGGACCTACTGTATAGCACAGGGAACTCTTGCTCAATATTCTGTAATAAGCTAAATGGGAAAAGAATTTGAAAAAGAATAGATATATGTATATGTATAACTGAATCACCTTGCTGTACACGTGAAACTAACACAACATTGTAAATCAACTATACTCCAATATAAAATAAAAATTTTAAAAGTAAAACAGTAATGTATGGTGAGCTTAAAGGGGAGATCTTGAAGAGTGCTCGTTTTTCTTAAGCTAAAGCAAATCTGTGAAAAGGGAATCAGGATGAACTGATTTAAGTATCACTGTAGGCGAAAATGGGCTTGAAGAACTAAAACACTTAAATCCCTCAGCCTTCTGAAATTAGACTTGTATAATGTGTTTTGTACTACTAGTCTTTAACTTTTCACAGACAATATTTAAAATCTCAAAAAGGTATCTATATTGATAGTGTGGCCTGGGGTGGCCAAGGCATCAGTACTTTGTGAAAAGAGCCCTGGACTAGAATGAGACACAAGAGTTGCCATTATGGCCCTGCCATGAAATGTATTGCCTCAATCAAGTTGTTTAATCTCCCTGAGCCTCAGCTTCTTGTCTGTAAAATGAATGGATTGGGTTAGATGATCTTTTAACTTCTAGCTTCATCAGGCTATATGCCTCTTGTGAATATTCATATGTTGAACTGGAATAAAGCTAATTTATAAACTCATGATTAACATAACTTCTCAAATTGAAGTAATTGTCTTCTACCAAAAGGAATTCTAACTTATAATTCATATTTCTATTTTAGACTAGAACTGCTGGAAAAACACCATCATTAACTAAAAGAATTGGTAAATATTCTTATTAAAATAAATACTTTAATTTCATTGCCAGTTTATTATACTTGTTATTTATATGGTGGAAAGGTAAACTGATTCTTTCAAGGTATATATCTTTGAGATGAGATTGCTATAGACTTAAGAATTCATGAAGTGCCTATAAATTTAAGTTGGATATTTATATCCTGAGAACATTGGTTCAGAGGCTGGACAGTTTTTCCAAGTTCGAGAGGAACAGCTGTAGGCTCTCCATTGTTATTTCTGTTAAAATCACAAAAAGCGTTAAGTGTATTTTTTTTTTCGTTAAGTGTATTTTTGTCAATGGGGTTTCTTTAGTTAGCCAGGATTGTGAATCCAGTGCTCTGCTAATGTGCCATCACCATGATCAGCGCTAACCTTCCTGCTTCCTTATTCCATGCCATCTTTTTGCCTTCCCCAGCTTCTTCACAAAGGAGTATGGTTTGGTTTGTTTACCTCCTATTACCTTTTAGAGAGGTAGAGGATTTTTATCACAAAGCTTATTTACTCATGATAGGCATCTTTAAAAATAAAGTGTGCAGAGAAAAATATTATGTGAAACAAAGAAGATATTGTTATCCCACTTTTCAGATGAAGAAACAGAGAGGTTAAGTGACCTGCCCACGGTTACATTACAAAGCATTAGTGGAAGTAGGACTGTAAATAAGGTCTTCTGAATCCTACATCACACTACAGATCTCATTCTCAACCTAGGCATCATGTTTCAAAAATAGTAAAGTTTAATTTAGAATATGTCTGGTGATTCCCCACTCCCTATACTCATAACATCATCTATTTAGTATCTTAAGGATTAGAAGGCAAGAGAATACTATATATATTCATACGTATGCTAGAGAAGGAGAGCCAATTTGATACTATTTGATTAAGGTTTTGTAATGTGCATAAATGATACAGTTTAAGAAATCATTTATTCCAGCCTGTATTTTTGAAATTATCCAGAAACAAAGATTCTATAACATTTCTTCATAATAATCATCCTTATACTGCATACTATTCCTTTTATGACTAGTAAGACTCTTGCTCTGGTTTAGGATTAGTGTTTTTAAATGAAGATATAATTCATACAGCAAAAATTGCACCCGTATAAAGTATACACTTTAGTGGGTTTTGGTATATTCACAGGGTTGTACATCCATAACTACTGTTTAATTGCAAAACATTATCATAACCCCAGAAAGAAACCCCATACTCCTTAGCATTGCAGCCCCTTGACCCCCAAGCACAAACAACCACTTACCTACTTCTGTTTCTATGGATTTGCCTATTCTGGATGTATCATATAAGTGGAGTAATAATGTGTGGTTTCACGGTTCATCCAGTCATATAAGTTCAACCCTTATATATGAGTACTTCATTATTTTTTATGGTGGAAAATATTCCTTTATATGGATAATACCACATTTTGTTTACCCATTCATTAGTCAGTGGACATTTGGGGTGTTTCCACTCTTGGGCTATTATGAATGATGCTGATGCTGCTATGAACATTTGTGTTCAAGTTTTTGTGTGGGCATATGTTTTTAGTTCTCTTGGGTATATGTTTAGGGATGGCGTTTCTGGGTCACGTGGTAACTCTATGTTTAAACTTTTGATAAACTGCCAGACAGTTTTCCAAAGTGGCTGCACCATTTTATATTCCCACCAGCAGTGTATGAGGGTTTCAGTTAGTTTTTCCACATCCTTGTTAACACTTGCCTGTCTCCTTATTACAGCTGTCCTAGTGGGTGTGAGGCGTGTCTCATTGTGGTTTTGATTTGCATTTCCCTGATAGCTAATGATGTTGGACATTTTTTTATGTGCTTATGGGCCATTTGTATGTCTTCTTTGGAGAAATGTCTGTTCATCTCCTTTGCCCTTTGTTTAGTTGGGTTACTTTTTTTTTATTATGGAGTTGTAATAGTTCTTTATATATTTTAGTTCTTTATACATTATACATATAAGTCCCTTGTCAAATATATGATTTGCAAATATTTTCTCTCATTCTGTGGGTTGTCTTTTCACTTTCTTGTTGGTGTCCTTTGAATCATATTACTTTTTAATTTTGATGAAGTTCAACTTGTCTGTTTTTTGTTGCTTATACGTTTGTTGTCATATCTAAGAAATCATTGCCTAATCCAAGGTCACCTGTGTTTTCTTCTAAGAGTTTTATGGTTTTAGCTCTTACATTCAGGTCTTTCATCCATTTTGAGTTAATTTTTGTATATGGTATGAGGTAGAGGTCCATCTAACCATCACCCAGATCAAGATATAGAACATTTCCACCACCCTGGAAAGCTCCTTCAGGCTCCTTCCCAATCAATATCCACCCTCAAGTTATATTCTGACTTCTATTACGATAGATTAGATTTGAACATCTTAAAAATGTAATCATACAGTATGCACTCTTTTTTCTCTGGTTCATCATTATGATGATGTTTTGTTTGTCATATCTATGTGATTGATCCATGTTGTCTGTGGCAGTAGTTCATTTTTCTTTCTTGCTGTGTAATATTTGAATATACCAGAACTTACTTATCCATTCACCTGATGATGGGCATTTGAGTTGTTTCCAGTTTGAGCCTGTTATAAGTAACACTGCTGTGAATATTCTTGTGTATGTCTTTGGTGGATATATGTACTCATTTTTAATACCCAAGAGTGGGGAAGTTCCTGGCGGTCCAGTGGTCAGGACTCAGCGCTTTCACTGCTGGGGCCCAGGTTCAATCCCTGGTCGGGGAACTAAGATCCTACAAGCTGTGCGGCATGGAAAAGAAAAAAGAAATACCGAAGAGTGGAATTGATGAGTCAGAGGAGAAGTCTCCTCTTTTAGCACATCACTACACAATCTGTATTCCTACTTTGAGTGTCGTTAAAGTGACTTTCTATTTGCTTTCTTGCCTTATCTAGTCCACCCTCCCCCTAGCTGCAGAAACTAAGTCCGAGAGATAGGAAACTGATACATTCAAGGTCACAGACTGCGTCTTCCTCTATTTCCCATGATTTTTTCAAAATAATTGCTGGTGATTCACTAAAGACATCAATGCTTTTCAGATTTTTGAAGCGCTTAACCGTTTTCTTATCTGTTTTACCTTATCTTGTACTGTTCATGTAGTCTTTAAAGCACCTAATCTCAATTCATAATGCTACAAAATACATACTCATTGCATTTTCAACTGTTGTAAGATTCTGAAAGTGATTCTTCAAGGCCCAAGTATTTCTAAATCCTCTTCCCAAAGCAGCTTTGGTTTTGATTTGTTGTTGTTATTGTTTATTTATTTGGCTGCGTTGGGTCTTAGTTGCGGCCCTCGGGATTTTTTTTTTTTTTTGAGGCATATGGGATCTAGTTCCCTGACCAAGGATCAAACCTGGGCCCCCTGCGTTGGGAGCGCAGAGTCTTAGCTGCTAGACCACCAGGGGAGTCCCTGGTTTTGATTTTTTGCTTGTTGCTTAAATTTTTCTTTTTAATTATACTTTGCTGTTGAGTTGTGTTCATGAAAATAATTAAACTCTATGATCTTTTTCCTCACCAATTTTCATTTCAGATGATACCATATTCCAAAATCCTATGGTACAAGAAGCTATACGAATGGGATTCAGTTTCAAGGACATTAAGAAAATAATGGAGGAAAAAATTCAGACATCTGGGAGCAACTATAAATCACTTGAAGTTCTGGTTGCAGATCTAGTGAGTGCTCAGAAAGACAATACACAAGATGAATCAGGTCAGACTTCATTACAGAAAGGTACGCATGCCTGTTTTTAAAAAGCAAGACACACCTAACATCACTTCATTATGGATAGTATCTTACATGACTTTGTGGCCCATTCATTTCCCTCCTCTCATATTCCCCTTAGGATAAATGTTTTTTAAAACTTTTTATTATGAAAACTGTCAAACATACTCAGAAGTGGAGAGAATAGTATAATGAGCCCACACGTATGCATCGACCATCTTCAATAATTATCAACGCTTTTCCAATCTTGTTTCACTTCTTCCCCCACCTTTTTTTCTTTGCTGTAGTATTTCAAAGTAAATCCCAGACATCCTATATATCATTTACCTATAAATACTTCGATAAATATCTAACAGATAGGGACTTCTTTTAACATCACCATAATACTGTGTGTTAATCTGCTCAGACTATTTTAACAGTACTGTAAACTGGGTGGCTTAAACAACAGACATTTGTTTCTCGTAGTTCTGGAGGCTGGGAAGTGCAAGACCAAGGTGCAGGCAGATTTGGTTCCTGGTGAAGACTCTCTTCCAGGCTTGCTGATGGCTGCCTTCTCTAAGTCCTCACATGGCCAAGAGAGAGAGCACTCTGCTTTCTGTTCCTCTTCTTATAAGGACCTTGATCCCATCATGGAGTCCCATCCTCATTACCTCATCTAAACCTAATTATCTCCCAAAGGCCCTACCTCCAAGTACCATCACAGTGGGTTAGGGGTTCAACGTATGAATTTTGGGGAGACAGACATTTAGCCGATAACATACTATTGTCACACTTAATAAAATTAACAGTAATTCCATATCATCTGAAATTCAGTTGGTTTTAATTTTCCTCATTGTCTTAAAATGTTTTTACAGTTCATTTGTTCTACTCAGGGTCCAAGTAAGATCCAGTGATCCATTCATTTAAAAGTGTGAGTTTATGCTCTATTTTAGATAAAGAACAACAAAGACTAACTTTTATCATTGTGTGTAGACTATAAGTTTTGTAGTTGAAACTCTTTGGATTTAGAGTGCTCTGCAACTTTTCATATGATGTAAATATATAAAGGGGTCATATTGCTAAATAGAGCTTGAATTAATGGCATCTTAATACTATGAATCATGTATAGAAAGTGTATTAAATAATGTAGAAGAGAAGTATATAACCTCCTTTTAGGAAAAAGAAAGGTAAAAAATAGAAGTTTCTCCTTTAAGGATGACAGCTACTCTAGAGCTTGCCAACAACATTGGAGGTTAAAGAAAAGGTTTCAAACTGAATACATTCTTGGGGTACTTTATTATAATCGTTCTCTAAGCTTTTGACCACCTGTATCAAAAGATGAGAACTCTCCAAGGGCTAATGAACCTAAAAGTTCACTTTTTTTTTTTTTTTTACCTTAAAGACCCTTTTGATCTTTAGGTTATTTCAGATGCTTTTGAAACACTATTCAGATAATTACATAAGTCATAAAACAGTATAACATTAATGATGTTTTAAATTACATTAGTTGATGTAAAAGATTCAGCAGAAAGCATCTTTTCCTTAAAGATGCATGTATTTTAAACCTATTAGCTCCACGTGTCTTGGTGATAGTGAAACAAACCATTTACCTCGTGATACCAGTGATTGTGCCATTCTCCCCTTAACCACAACTCAAGCTTAATTAAGTTTGACAATAAGGTGTTACTTTTTATACCTGAAGGTGTTTACAACAGAAAGATTTAGTGGGTTGCAGTAGGAAGAGAACAAGGGACAGAGTGCATTGGGGCATGTTTGTCCTCTATCCAACAGGAGTTGGTGGGGGGTTCTTATTACTGAGACTACAAGCCAGGGTAGTGTGGGAAGGAGGGCCTAAACAAATGCCAGCTCTCAGGGGCACGGGTTAGAATTCATCTGATGATCTCTCCTTAGTCTCACAAAATTGAGAGGCAAGCAATTGTTACAGGCTATCTTCTCACGGAGGACTGCTGTCTATTTCTCTTCCCAAAAGCTGATGAGGAAAGACTGGCACTAAGAATCATATAATTCTATCCAAAATAGAGGGTGGGCCTAATTGAAGTAAAACAGATGGAAGTTATTAGAAAAAAGTACAATGTTATTGTTACTCATTGAGAAATCCTAGATTCAAAACTAGTTTTTATCCCATTGGCTCTGTGACAGAGAATACCCCAGTCTTCTAAAGATAGTACCAAATTAGTATCTTTTTTTCTTTCTTTTTAAAAACAACATAGTATGATATAAAGCCCTTTATTTCATGTGTGTGCTAAGGCACTTGCTTTAATCCTTATGTGTATATTACAGAACACAATGTGAAAATCAAATAACCCATACACATTTCTTATCAGTCTGTCTTTCTACATGAATCTGCTCTGATAGGAACATTAACAACATCAGTTTATTCTAGAAGTGGTTTAAAATAATGTAGTAAAAATATTAGCAAATAACATCAAAGATGATCTAGCTGTTGCCTTTATTGCTATGTGCCAGAACCTCCCGACCTAGAAGGGGGCCTTGTAGAAAGTAGAAGGGGAAAGGTACCTCAGGAAAGGAAAGAACCTAGTAGTTACTCTAAAGGCTAGAGTGAAGTAATTGCCAGAGGTAAAGTATTAGTCTGGAAAGAATGCCCAGACCATCACCATCTCAAGTAAGTGTCTGTATGCAAGCCTGAAATAAGGTAGGAAAAGTGGAGTTGATGATATCTGTGTTTGGTAGGCATGACATTTCATCCATTGTGGTCTGCAAACATGGAATCACAAATAATCGGAATGAAAGGAACCTTAAAGATCATGTAAAATTTTCATTACTTCAGAGAAAACTGAAGTGCAGATATGCTGTTACTCAAGGTCACTCAGATAGTTGGGAGTAAAATTCAGATTTCCTGACTTCTGGTCCGGTGTTCCTGTTTTTTCTTGTTTTTTTTTTTTTTTACTTTTTAAAAAATTGTGGGGAATTCCCTGGTGGCCCAGTGGTTAGGACTCAGTGCTTTCACTGCTGAGTGCCTGCGTCCCATCCCTGGTCAGGAAACTAAGATCCAGCAAGCCACGCGGTGCAGCCAAAAACAAAACAGTTGTGGTAAATACACATAAAATTTACCTTCCGAACCATTTTTAAGTGTACAGTAGTTTTAAGTACATTCACACTGTAGTGCAGTCAATCTCCAGAACTCTTTTCATCTACAAAACTGAAACTCTTTACCTAGTAAACAACAACTCCCATTTCCCCCTCCCCTGGCAACCACCATTCTGCTTTCTGTCTCTGTAAATTTGACTACTGGAGGTAGTGTCCTTTTTCATTCATTGTGGCATTACATCCAAAAGTAATGTGTAAATTACTTAATTGTTGTCCTTTTTTTGATTTTTCTTGGAATTACAAAGCTACTTTTTTTTTTTTGCGGTACGCGGGCCTGTCACTGTTGTGGCCTCTCCCGTTGTGGAGCACAGGCTCCGGACGCGCAGGCTCAGCGGCCATGGCTCACGGGCCCAGCTGCTCCGCGGCATGTGGGATCCTCCTGGACCGGGGCACGAACCCGCATCCCCTGCATCGGCAGGCAGACTCTCAACCACTGCGCCACCAGGGAAGCCCTACAAAGCTACTTTTTAAAAAACACTGGGAAGGGGTAGTCCCCTTACCCTCAGGACTGGCCCAGGTGTAGAGAGACTACCTGAAGGGAAGGAAGCACAAAAGAGACCTGCTGTAGAGTCAGGGCAAAGGGAATGCCGTGCTGGGACCTGTGAGCACTACAGGAGGAAACTCTAGCATGGTGGGACTAGCTCCAGGCACACAGGAGAAGTGCAAGAGGATTGGACATGAAGTTACTTGGGTTCTTCATTCTCATTTGCCTTTTTCTGCTTCTGCTGCATGATCTCCGAGTCCCTCTGCTTGTGGACGGCAGCAGAAAACCTGTTATCTCAAGTGCTTTCCCTTCACCAAGTCACTCTGCTTTTCCATATTCCTCTGGCAGGCTAGCTCGCACTGGTTACCACAGTCTTGGTGATGGCATGAATATATACTTTATTCCGACTGTTTTGGTCAGATGCTTCCATATAATATAAATCAATTTATAATGCCATCCCTTTGCTTCTGTTGTTTCCTATGCCCCGAATGCCTTTTTCCTGTTTGTATACCTCATCTGATGCCCCACTCCATCCCCAGTTCCTTAAATCCATTTCTTGAACTCATCCTTCAAGGCTCAGCTCAAAGGCCACTTCTTTGAAGTTTTCTCCAATACCCATAGCAGAGTTTGCAGCTCCCTCTACTCTCTCTGCTGTTAAAGCAATTGTAACATCATTTTGGAACTGTTTTCTTTTCTCTCCTGCCCATTAGACAAGCTTCTTGGGGGCAGGCAGTTTATCTTCTTATCTCTATGTTCCATGTTTGAGTTTTGATTATGCCCAGGAAGTTGCCTTTTAAGAAAAAGAGATTATATAATCCTTTTCTCCACCGCTAATCAAGAAAACCTTTCTGAAGCAATTCTGATATCTTTTTCCAGGTTAAAACCCTTCACTGGCTCCTGGGGTCCTCGGTGTCAAGTCCAAACTCCTTTACATGGGTTGCCAAATCCTTCATGATCAGGCTCCTGCTAACCTTCTGTAGCCTCATGTCATGCTATTTCCCCCTCAGATTCTCTTCCCAAGCCTTACCCGTGCACTTGCAGGCCTGGTTCTGTCTCTCTCCTTGGAGCCTGCTTATGTCATTTCCTCTGCCCAGAACCCTCTTCTCCCATTGCTTCTGTCCCCCAAGGCCGTCTCCCTCTCCTACTTTACTCCTACTCATCCTTTAGGACCCAGTTTAGGTATAATTTTTTCTGGGAGGCCTCCCCTTTATGTGTGTGTGCACAGACACACACTCTTCCTGTGTTCTTCATAACACATTATAATTACTTTTTATCATCACACTGTATTATAATTTCCTGTCTGCTTGTGTTCCTTACTTGTCTATGAATGATTGGGAGCCCAGGGTCTATATATTTGTTAATTGTTCTATCTCTAATGCCTAGAACCTAGCTAAGTGTTCAGTAAGTATTTGTTGAATAAAATTAGACCACTGTTTCCCAAACTTGTTTTCAGAATAGTGTTCCCCAGAATGTTAAAAGAGATGCCATGAAAAATGAACTCTGTAGTTAAATAGGGAAATGCATTTTGAGTTTCTAAGAGGGCATATATGCTTTATCATACTGCCCTGAACTTGATAGTCATGGTTCCCAAATGCCAGTGTGCTCAACCCCATTATTTTAGATTCAGTGAATGGGGCCAAGGAATATATTGTTAAAAAAATGCCCCAAGTGATTCTCATGTGAGGCTGAATTTGGTATACATTGGTATACAGTGATTACAAAGGTTGTTATAATATGTAATATGCATTTGGAATACTGCGTAGCACATAGTAGAAGTGCTATATTACTGTTAATTGCTGTTGTTGTTGTCATTATAGTTATATATGACAGTGAAACACATTTCTATGACATATTTGTTAACATTTCACGAAACTTAGTTTGACAAAGGCTGAATTAAGCAAGAACTTCAGTGCCACCTGTGTATTGATGACACCCAAAGCTCTATCTTTAGCCCTGACTTCTTCTGATCTCAAGACTTGACTCTCTGATTGCCTGTTGGACATTTTTTTTTTTTTTTTTTTTTGCGTTACGCGGGCCTCTCACTGCTGTGGCCTCTCCCGTTGCGGAGCACGGGCTCCGGACGCGCAGGCTCAGCGGCCATGGCTCACGGGCCCAGGCGCTCCGCGGCATGTGGGATCCTCCCGGACCGGGGCACGAACCCGTGTCCCCTGCATCGGCAGGCGGACTCTCAACCGCTGCGCCACTGGGGAAGCCCCTGTTGGACATTTTTATATGGATGCTGTGCAAACACCTCAAAAAATCTTGAAAATCCCAAACCTGTACCTCCTTTTATATTTCCTATTGGCATTACCATCCCCTTGTCAGCCATGCTAGAAATCAACTTTATTTCCTTTCTTCCTCATCCCTCACATCCAGTCACCAAATCCTACTTGTCCCACTTCAGAAGTGGCCCTCAAATCCGTCCCTCCATTTCTGGAATAAGCCATGCCTTTTCTATATGCTGCTTCTTTTACCTAAGCCTTGCTTCTCTGCTTAGCAAATTGCTATTTTTAAATGTCACTCTTCCACTCCCCCCTCCCCCATCCAACAGCCGCCAACCTGAGAAGCCTTCCCCAGCTAGTCTGAACAGAAGAACTTGTTCTGTGGTCTTGTCCCAGAGCACTTTGTATGTAACTTTATTATAGCACTTATCACTTTGTGCTTACCTCCGTAGCCTCAGCTCATGTCTTTCTCTCCCACTAGCATGCGAACTACTTAAGAGCATATGCCATATGTGTCATCCTATCTCCCAACACTTGATTAGTGTCTGGCACATAGTAGGGGTTCACATTATTTCAGTGAATTTAAACAACTAAGAAAGTCTAAAATTAATACTTTTTTTTTTCTCTTTGTACAGAGATTAGTACTGAAGAGCAGCTAAGGCTACTGCAAGAGGAGAAGCTTTGCAAAATCTGTATGGATAGAAATATTGCTGTAGTTTTTATTCCTTGTGGACATCTGGTCACTTGTAAACAGTGTGCGGAAGCAGTGGACAAATGTCCCATGTGCTACACAGTCATTACTTTCAAGCAAAAAATTTTTATGTCTTAATCTAACTACAGTAGGCGTGTTATATTCTTATTACCCTGATTGTGTGATGTGAACCAACTTTAAGAAATCAGCATTGAATTCCATTAGCATTTGCTACCAAGTAGGGAAAAAATGTAAACTGTGATGTTATAGCTAGCAATCTAAAATTTGAATTTCTGGATTTTTCAGGATTTTAGCTGTATTATCTGTCCTATTTTTTCACTGTTATTTAATTGAAACCCTAGACTAAGAAGCATCATATTATTATAACTGATCACAATGTGTATTTGTAGTACACTGACTTAGATTTCTAAATGTAAGTGAATTAATCAACTGACTTTTTCATCCTTTTTAGATAGGCTTAACAAGTGGAGCCTTCTTTGTAAACGTACAGATTAGAGTTAATCTCCCCAATCACATAATTTGTTTTGTGTGAAAAAGGAATGAACTATTCTACACTGGTAGAAAGATAGAGATTATCTTTAGATGTTTGTGTTTTAGGATTTTGTCCACTTTCTTTTAAAATTATACACATGTACTTGGGTGGATGATTTTTTAAAATGATTTTGCCATTGTTAAAAGGGTATTTAATGATTGAATACCATCTAGCCTACACGTACTGACATAGAAAGATGTCAGAGGTATATTAAGTGTAAAATCAAGTGGCAAAACACTGTGTATAGAATGAGCCAAGTGAGGTGTGTGTGTTTTATATACGTATAGAACAGAAGATTTGGAAAGATAGGCACCAAACTGTTAAATGTGGTTTCTTTGGGGGGCGGGGATGGGTCCCAGAGGGGCTTTACAGGGAGGGACCTTTCACTTTCTACTTTTTTAATTTTGTTCTGTTTGAATTTTTTATAAGTCTGTATTACTTTTGTAATCAGAATTTTTAGAAAGTATTTTACTGATTTAAAGGCTTAGGCATGTTCAAACGCCTGCAAAATTACTTACTGCTCAGCTTCAGTTTTTCTAATCCAAGAAGGCAGGGCAGTTAACCTTTTTGGTGCCAATGTGAAATTTAAATGTTTATATGTTTTTCCTGCTTTGTGGATGAAAAATATTTCTGAGTGGTAGTTTTCTGACAGGTAGACCATGTCTTCTTCTCTTGTTTCAAAATAAATATTCCTGATTTTGTAAAATGAAATATAAAATATGTCTCAGATCTTCCAATTAATTAGTAAGGATTCATCCTTAATCCTTGCTAGTTTAAGCCTGCCTAAGTCACTTTACTAAAAGATCTTCGTTAACCCAGTATTTTAAACATCTGTCAGCTTATGTAGGTAAAAGTAGAAGCATGTTTGTACACTGCTCGTAGTTATAGTGACAGCTTTCCATGTTGAGATTCTCATATCATCTTGTATCTTAAAGTTTCATGTGAGTTTTTACCTTTAGGATGATTAAGATGTATATAGGACAAAATGTCAAGTCTTTACCTAAGTTTTTTGTTTTCTTGTCTAGTAATAGTAGTAGATACTTCTGAAATAAATGTTCTCTCAAGATCCTTAAAAACCCCTTGGAAATTATAAAATATTGACAAGAAAAGAAGAGTTGTTTGAATATTAAAGAGAAAATAAAACTTGAATAAGAATCCGTATATATTAAAAAAGAAAATGAAAGTTTAAAAGTGCTTCATAGAACATCCAGACAAAGATTCTCACAACAACCTGTTGTAGAGGTGAGTGAGGCATTTTACTGTAGAGAAAAGTTTGAGAGTGGAACTGTTAAAAGTTATATTTTTGTTGTATTTTCTAAGAGAAAGAGTATTATGGTCTCTTAACCTCTGTTGATTACTACTTTGATATTCATTTAAAGCACTGCAAATTTAAATGAGAATTTTTAAAATCAAATAAGGACTGCCCTGTTTTTGTTTTACTATGTAAATCCTCAGTTCTTTACCTTTGCACTTTCTTCTACTTAGGTTTAGTTATATATTCATTAAGTTAAATTTTACATGTATAGTCTAAGCTTTAAATTTAAACTTAAATTACAAGGGGAGAAAAGTGTTAAAGTTTTAAAAATGTGTTTTCCAGGACACGTCAGCTCCAAGTCAGGTAGTTAGTTCAATCTAGTTGTTGGCCGAGGACTGAACTGTTTTAACATAAGGCTTTTCCAGTTCTGGAAGCCTCAGTTCATTAAAACTCTTTTAAAACTTGTATGTTTAGAGTTAAGCAAGACCTTTTTTCTCCCCATGAGTTGTGAAATTTAATTCATGAAGCTGATGTGGCTAACAAGTTTATTTTAAGAATTGTTTAGAAATGCTGTTGCTTCAGGTTGTTAAATCACTCAGCACTCCAATTTCTAATCAAATTTTTAAAGACTTACCAATGTTTGCCTTTGTTTGCACTATGAAAAGCCCTGGATCCTTCCCATCTAATTGTGCAAAGAATGATCACTTGCAAGGTCAAAAATATAGCCAGATCCAAATCTCTGCCTCCCCCTTCCCAAAATAGTTCTCAGTATCTACATGTAGACATTCCTTTTCTATATAAAGTTCACTCTAAGATTTCAAAAGGCACCACCTATTTTACTACCTTTTAGTCATGCGAAGAGTCAAGTTGTTTTGTAATAAATAATTATCTTTATTCGTAATAATCTGGTGTGCTGATCAAAAGCTTTGTCTTAATTTTTGAGAAACGGGTTTAGTGTTTATAAAATAAATTCCAGTTTATTAATTAGTAGATTTGTATTGCCTTTCCTACTAGATTTTTTGTTTGTTTTTATTTTTTTTCCCCTTTGGTTTGGGGCTAAGATGGGATAGGATGGGTGTAGTGAATGTATATGATGTGATTTGGCCCTGTGTATTATGATCTTTTGTTGTTATATTATTTAAATGTTGGTAGTTTTTTTCCTGTTTTCATTATAGTGGATAAAATTGGTATTTTGAACTCTGAATGGAGACTACCACCACAGCATTAGTTCCACATATCGTACCCTTTAGACCAAAATCATTGTTTTATTTCCTGCTCACCCAGCTGTTGAATATGGGGGAAAGGGGTGGAGGGGTGGGAGAAGTAGGATAGGTTGTGTATCATTTCCATTAGAGAAATAAGAAAACAGGAGGGAATATTTGACAAATATGGTTATTTTTAGCCAAATCTGCTTTAAAAAAGAAAAAAAGAGGTAACTATTTCTTCATCTGTGAAATGAGAATAGTACGTGTCTTACAAAGTTATGAGTTCAAGGAGGCCATATGTGTAAAATACCTGTTATAAATGTTAATTCCCTACCTAACACTCTTTTACCTTCCCTGGATATGCCTTGACTCTGGAAATGTGGGCTAAAACTTAGATGATAACTCTTTCAGTGACTCTTACTCATTTTTTTGTTTGTTTGTCATAGTCAAGATGCAAATTACAATGAACAAGTAGGTCAAGTCCTTAAAAATATTTAAATTCCTGTTTTAATAACTTGAAAAAAGTATTCTTACCAAGTTTAGTTGAGTTTTCCTAATAGAAACAGTTGGCTTATTCCCACTTTCATAATCAGTTTCAGTTTGACTCTTGTACACTTAGCACAGTGTGAATTTCATTTGCAGCATAATAGAATCATAGGGTGTCAGAGCTAGAAGAGACCTTAGAGAGTATCTAAATTCATCCCTCTTGTTTTACAGATAAGGCAACTGAGGCTGAAAGGTGAAATGATTTGTTCAAAGCTATATAGCTAATTAGTGATAGCCCAGACTGGGACATAGTTTGACGGTGAAAAACTTCAAGCTACCTCTCCAGGGAGGTGTCAAATGTTTATTTTTTTTGTATAGCATACCATAACCTTCACTACATATTAAATGATACTTTATAACTAATACAATAGGACAATCTTAAATACATATAGCTTCAAATTGTACAATACTACATTAATGTTTAGGTGGTAAGATTCTATATTGAAGTCTAAAGTTTGCAGAAATGCATATAGATTTTTTGGCATTTATTACATTCTTGTGTATCATTGATGTAACATTTAAAATTACTATATATTTTGTCATTCTATCTATACTTAGCAACAAATTTGCATTTTTTATTTGATGTAACAAAGACTTTAATGTAATTTTTGTTAGAAGAGTTTGCATTTTTTTCATTACTGTTATACTTTATCTAACCTGACAAAATGACTGATTCTTATGTCATTGTATTAGTGTTGTGAATAATCATGTGAAATGTGTGAGAGAGAGTACTATATTTGTGAATATAATTTTATGGCTCTTTTCATTTAGTAGAAACCTTTCCATCAGTATGGAAAACTAAGAAAATTGCTTTCTACTGTAAAATCTGGCAGTCATCATAGATTAAAGCTTATTTTTCTGGGAATAAAACTTATTCAATAAAGCACTATTCTTTAAAATGATATCTTATTACTTAGTTTCATTTTCTCAGAAGAAAATAAAATACTTAAAAATACTAAAATGTAACCTCCTAAATATACCCTATGCCATTGGGCCAGGCAGTAAGGTACACATCAAGTCAGATCATATTTTAAAAAAAAAGACATCTGCTTTCAAATTAATTAATAGAATTCTATAAGTGCATAAAAAGTTAATTTTTAACATGTGTGAAAATATGAACCCCCCCCCCACAAAGATTGGCCTGGTTGACTCAAGAGATAGTATAGTCACCATAACAAGGCTTGAACAAGCAAGAGACCTAAGAAGCCACTGCCCCTTTGAGGCAGGCAGCAGAGAAGGATTTCTGTGAGTCTGTATTGGTAGCTACAAGCAAATCTGGTGGAATAAAAAGTGAGGGAATAAAGGATCTTTAAAGGGAGAGAGAAATTTAGAAGAGGGCTATTTCCCCTACCCCTGCCTGCCCACAATGGAAGTTCCTAAATTGAGATTTGTATTTCAGGCCTAGTCTGTGTAGTGACTGATTATTGAATCCTTGACTATGTTATCACTCTTATCCGAGAATACCATTAAGACCTTGTTTTAAAGGCAGTCCACATTTTGTACATGTCAACTACACTTTCAATGAATATTGATGAAGATGTGAATTTTCAAAGCTTTCTCTTACAGAAATTTTCAAACT